GATTCGTCAATCATCAACTAGGGAGTTGTTAACTTTCATACGCGTTCGTCGCCTCGTGCACCAGCGATTAATTCGTCAATTATGAACGAGCCCCCCCCCCCCCCCCTCCCCTCTAGTTGTTGATTACGCGTTGGTCGCTAGCTACTTGCAGGTACGCGTCGCTCGCCTCGTGCACCAGCAAGTCGCACCCGGCGGCGATGCCCGAGCAAGGCGAGGCGTCGCAGCAGTCGCCGAGCACCGCAATCTTGCGTCCGCGCCGCGTGCCGCCGACCGCGTCGGAGCCTCGGATCACCGCGCCGTCGGGAAGGACGAGCTCCTCCTCAGAGCCGAGTGCCGCAACCTTCTTCAGCACCGATCGCGGGTCGCGCACGCCCCACTCGTCCGCCAGCGCCTGATTCACAGCAGCAGGTGTGAAGAGACGCCGCTCACACCATCATCACGGACCCCCCCTTCGTCCGACAGCGCCTGTCTGTTGCGCTGCAGCAGCGGCAGCACCAGCTCCGGCTTGAGGCGGCCCCGCTTGGACGCCTGGTGGTCCACACAGCTGCAGGTGTGGAGAGGCGCCGTTCACAGCTCCGGCTTGAGCCCCCCCCCCCTGCACGCTTCCTCAACGACGTAGCCGACGGTCGGGACGGGTGCAATCTCCCCCTATCTCGAGCAAATCTCCCCATATCTCCGCGCCTCCTCAACGACGTAGCCGACTGTCGGGACGGTATGGCGCACCGGCGCCGCGCGCACGGTGACCGAGCCACTCTCGCCAAATGCGGCCGTCAGTAGCTCCCAGCACCCGTCTGGGCCCGGGCGCAAGTCCAAACCACCGGGCTGCTCGCCGGCGTCGGAGCTGCGGACGTCGCCCGGCGCGACGGCGAGCGGCGGCGGCGGCGGCCGCGAGGAGTGCAGGTTCGGTATGTCGTGCAGCTCATGCACCTAGTGTGGGGAGATGTGGGGAGACATGCTCGAGAGATGGGGAGAGATGCTCGAGATATGGGGAGATTGCACCACGAAGCGCGGAAGCATCTTGGCGAAGATATGGGGAGATATGGGGAGACATGCTCGAGAGATGGGGAGAGATGCTCGAGATATGGGGAGATTGCACCACGAAGCGCGGAAGCATCTTCGTGCCGCTGAAGCGAAGAGTCACGCGCAGAAAGGCGCGCAGCCCCGCCTGAGGGACATGTCTCGGACATGTCTCGGGCATGCCTCGGACATGCCTCGGGCATGCCTCGGACATGTCATGGACGTCTCGGCTGCGTCTCGCCGGCCCGTAGATGTCCATCGGAGGCGGGTAATCTCGGGTCATCTCGGGTCATCTCGGGTCATCTCGGGTAATCTCGGGTAATCTCGGGTAATCTCGGGTTATCTCGCCGGCCCGTAGATGTCCATCGGGGGCGCGTCGCGGTCGCGGCCACGCGCGATCAGGCAGAGGAGGCCGGGGAGGCCGAAGCAGTGGTCTCCGTGCGCGTGCGTGACAAAGATGCGGTCGATGCGCCTAATTAATGCGTAATTAAGACTTAATTAATAGTTGATCAGGCGCGTGCGTGACAAAGAAGCGGTCGATGCGCCTAATTAATGCGTAATTAAGACTTAATTAAGAGTTGATCAGGCGCGTGCGTGACAAAGAAGCGGTCGATGCGCCCGGGCGCCACGAAGCACCGCTGCAGCTGCACCTGCGTCCCTTCGCCGACGTCGAAAAGCCAGTACGAGTTGAGCAGCCTGGGAGACAAGGAAGAACGACTGGCGTGAGACTAGCGGCGCCTCGCGACGTGAGACTGGCGTGAGACTGGCGTGAGACTAGCGTGAGACTGGCCTCGCATCGTGTTGTCTCAGCGGCTCTGTGTGTGTGTGTGTGCGTCTAGCGTGAGACTGGCCTCGGCATCGTGTTGTCTCAGCGGCTCTGTGTGTGTGTGTGTGTGTGTGTGTGTGTGTGTCTAGCGTGAGACTGGCCTCGGCATCGTGTTGTCTCAGCGGCTCTGTGTGTGTGTGTGTGTGTGTGTGTGTGTGTGTGTGTGTGTCTAGCGTGAGCCTGGCCTCGCATCGTGTTGTCTCAGCGGCTCTGTGTGTGTGTGTGTGCGTCTAGCGTGAGACTGGCCTCGGCATCGTGTGTGTCTCTAGCGGCGTCCGCCTCAACGCAGTGTGTGTATCTCGGCATCTGAGTGTGTGTATCTGGCGTGAGACGCGTGGCCTGCTCTGTCTGTGTGTCTCTAGCGACGTCCTCAGGTGGCGAGATCATATCTCCCCACATCTCCCCATATCTCCCCATATCTCCCCATATCTCCCGTCCTTTGGCGCCTCAACGCGAGGGACGACGCGGAGCGAGTGGGAGACGGGTGCAATCTCCCCAGATCTCGAGCATATCTCCCCAGATCTCCGCGCCTCAACGCGAGCGACGAGGCGGAGCGAGTGTCTAGGAAGTGTCTAGGAAGTGTCTAGGAAGTGTCTAGGAAGTGTCAAGTCCGCCTCAACGCGAGCGACGAGGCGGAGCGAGTGGGGGACGGGTTGCACGCGCCGCTCCCCAGCACCACCACCTCCATGTCCGCGCCCGTGCCTGCGTTCCCGCCGCCCGCGCCACCGCCCGCGTCAACGCCGCCGCCGCCGCCGCCGCCGCCGCTGACTGGAGCCGCGTCGGCTGCAGCCTGCGCTTCTCTGCTGCCACCGCTGGCGGTGAGTGGAGCGAGGCCGTGAGAGGACGGCGCCGCGGCACCGCCCTGTAGCGTGCGGCGGCGCGGCGGCGCGGCGGCGGCAGCGGAGCTGTCATGCGGCTGCGTGGCGGAGGAGGAGGAGGCAGCAGAGCCGGAGGCGGCGGCAGAGGCGGCGGCGGCGGCAGGCTTGGCGGCGTATTCTTGCAGGCGCGCCGCAAGCTCCGCCTTGGTGCCGCTCACGCGGAGAGAGCGACTCGCGCACGCCGCCCGCAGCTCCTCGCGGCTCAGCCGCCGCACAAGCTCCGCCGCGCCAGCACCACGCAGCGACGAGTCATGCAGCGACGTTTCGGGCAGCGCGGCGATCGGGCGAGCGGCGCGGCTGCAGCACGCGAGCTGGCGCGTCGGCGCGAGCGGTGTAGACCAGCCGAGCGCGCCAGCGACGGCGGCGGCTAGCATATGCTACAGAAGCAGCAGTGGACGACGCGAGGGGGGGAGCTGATCAAGGCTCGCAAAAAAGAATCTTGCGACGCAACTCCCTCGCACAACGCGCAAAAAATCCCTGTGTGGTGGCGGCGTGCCGTCCTCCCATCCCTCCCTTGGGTTGTCTGTTTTCTTTCTTTCTTTCTTTTAACGCGCAAAAAAGACAATGAACGCGGTTCACAAAAAAGGATGATGCCACAAGAAATACTCACTCACTCACACACGGTGCGGTGTGGGTGTGTGCGTCTGAGCCCATGGCGGATCGAGTCTCACGCAGAGCGCACAAGAGGCTGACCGGCTCGGGCACCTCGTCCCGAATCGCTCGCGCGGGCATCTTGGCGTTGTGCTTAGCGCTGTGGAGCGCGACCGGTAGCCTCTGACCATCGTGTGGCGTGTCATTCTCGGTGACTCGCGCGACAGGATGGACCAATGAACTTTGACGCGGCGCTGAGGCGACGCGTTGCGGGCTGAGGGAGGGTGTAGAGGATGTAGAGTGTAGAGCGCTGTAGAGTTGTAGAGATGTAGAGCGCTCTGGAGTGCTGTAGAGCTGTAGAGCTCTACATCCGCCGCGGGACGAAGCGGGTGCGTTGTAGAGCGATGTAGAGCGCGATTTTGTTGTAGAGTTTGTTGTAGAGGCTCTACAGCCAAACCGCCGGGAAGGCAGTGACTCAAAGAGGTCGAGTCGCACTAATGGGGTGTCTCTGAGCTTACTGGAGCTCTGATGGACGGCCCTGACTATCCCTGACACACAGAGAGTCACTCTGACAGCACACAACGCCCTATAACTGCGTCATGACCAGCCTGCCATGCGTCGCCGGTGCCGCATTCATCGCAGTGCTTCTTTAGCAGGCGGTGGACTGTCGGCGGCGAGGACGGTCGCATTTGCGCGAGGCGAGACGAGCATTCAGACGCGTTGCATGCGCCATGCCTCGCGCCAGCGCGTGCGGGAGCTCCGTGGCTGAGCGTTGAGTCCAGGCGAGTTGCGCTGGCCACTATCGCTACACCTAGCCGAGCTGACGCGCCGAGGCGCCGGCCAGTCGCAGCCGTGAGGCATGCCACAGCAGCAGAGGCACCTCCCACCCATTGGGCGGGCAGACAGAAGGCCAGGGCAGCACTGGCAAGCGCAACGCGCCTCATGTCGGAGAGCGACCGTGCCTCGTTCGCCGCTTATGATTATGTAGAGTTTGTTGTAGAGATTTCACGTTGTAGAGCGCCTCTACATCGCTCTACAACGCACGCGCTTCGTCTCGCGGCGGATGTAGAGCTCTACAGCTCTACAGCGCTCTACAGCTCTACAGCTCTACAGCGCTCTACACTCTACATCCTCTACACCCTCCCTCAGGTTGCGGGCATAAGAGCAGAAAGGGCTGTCTTTATTTACGCCCCGCGCCTAACCTCTATATCTCGGCCTTCGTCAGAATGATGTCTCTGGACGTACCAATGGGATCCTGCACAACTTGAGCAGCGCGAGCTGCAACGCAGCCCATGCCACTTCATCCGAACGGCCAGTACTATTGGCAGCCAGCTGCGCGTCGCAGCGTGAACGTAGCTCTGTTCCTTCATGAGGAGTGACGCACGCCCAGTGAAGCCCGTCGCTTCCGTCCGGCATCTCCGCCCGGCGCGGCCATGACAGTGCGTGAACGTCATGAAAATGCAGGTGAGCCGTACTTGCGGACCCCGCACGCGTAGACAATGCCTGTCTGGCCTCGGCAAAGCGGCGCGCGATCTCGTGATTGATCTCGTCGAGCCTCGGGAGCAGTACTGCGTGGGGGCCCTTCGTGTACGAGACAAACACGTTGCGCACCACCACATCTGCAATCGCATACGTGCGTGCGATGCGCATGATTTCGTCCAGAAGCCATGCAAAGCGCGTGCCGAAGGTCTGAATAGCTGTGGCGCCGCTCTGGGCAGAGAAGACAAGGTCCCAGACGCCGACTCCAAAAATCAGCGCGAGACGCCTCTCATGACTGTCGGAGCGCACCGCCTGCCGCAACTGCATCGAGACGTCCGAAAGATTCGTGGCGAGGCGATCCATTCGTGTGCTATCTGTGTAGAGCCCGCCCACGAATATTCCTTGTATGGACGAAAGGTTGTACTCGGACCGATCAAGGATGCGCTGCTTCGGGGCACCCTTCTGCATGCGCCACGTTGGCTTGTTGCGCCCGTGGTCAAGCCAACGCATGAACTCGAACATCAGCATCTGCGTCTGAGAGTCGCCGACGAAGAGCACGTCAACGGTACCTCGCGACCGGCGCAGGCACGCAGCAAAGGGACCGTTGTCCGCCTCGTGCCGTTCTGCATGCAGCACAGGAAGCGGTGTTGCATCGTGTGCGCAGAGCACATACTTCGGGTGCTCGCAGCCGTCACGCTCTTTACACCATTGGCCTGTCATGTATGGCAGACATGCGCCGCTGTGGGCGAGCGACGAGTTGGCGTCGCACGCCAGCGCGGCGTACGGACGCCAATTCATTGATCCCGTCTTAGGTTATCGTACGG